AGTGGATCATATCACCTCTTTATTTTTTTATAAGTTTATTTTTTAATAAAAGCCAAAAGTTAACTTTTAACCACTTTCAAAATAATTCAAACTAGGTTAAAAGTCAAACACGTTCTCAAAATGGCCCTCTGTCATATATAACGTTGTTTTGAATATTGACGGAGAGATTAAAAATTGATAGATAGGGGTTGTTTGGGATGACTTAAATAAGTGTACTTTTTGTCTTTTTACGAAAAGATGTGTAGAAAAATAGAGAGGTGATATGATGAAAAGAAGATAAAAAGATAAAAAGATGGATTATTTTGATGTTATCAAACTTGGCCTAAATTATAAGTTTAAGGGTCGTTTGGAAATGTTTTCTATAATGATTTTTTTTATTTTGTTTTATTAAAATATGATATGAAAAAAGTTATTATATTTGGGATGTTTTTTTATTTTTTATAAAAAGGTGTACACAAAATAGAGTGAATGGTAAAGAATATTTGTTTTTTTAATATTTATTAATTTTTTATTTTTTTTTTCTTGACTTTTTTAATGACTATTTAACTTTTTAGACTAAATTATAATTTGTCAAATGAGACCTTAATGAAATTATAAGGGTATTAGAGCTGAAGTAAAGAGATTAATGTAAAATTTTAATAAAAGTGTACAAGTGTAAGGGGGTAATTTGTTTGATTGGAATGATTAGAGTATGGAATTGAGATTATTAATCCGTAGGCTCAATTATCCTATATTTTTTTTGACATTTTATTTTAGGATTATTAATCCAATAGATAGTTAATCCAACAAATTTGTAGGATTATTAGTAATGAGGTAGGGGTGAGATTGTGAATACCACACTAATTTGATAGAATTATTAATATTTCACTATTAGTCTTGTGGAATCAAACATAAGTTGTCTATTTTTTTTTTTTAAACAGAATTATATAAAGGAGACCAATTACAACTTGACTTTGATTGAAATAATTAAAAAATTGAAAAGATATTTAAGCACACTTTTTATTTTTTTATTTTTTTTAGTCATCTCACTTTTTTATTTTTTTTATATTTTTTTTGTAAAAAGTTAAAAAGTGTCTTTTTTTAGATAATCTCAAACAATTATAAAAGGGGCATTTTTTCATAAATCCCTTTTCACTTACTTATGTTCTATTTAGTCTATATTACTTTCTTATATTTCAATAAATCCTATGAATGATATAGTTATCAAAATACCCCTAATAATATTCACTTCTACAGTGCGAATGTTTCGTGATATCAATGTTCGTACTGCCAATGTGAATATTCACATCGCCAATTTAATGTTCACATTATCAATGTGAATGTTAGCATGTCAATATGAATATTCACGTTGTAAAATGTGAATGTTCACATCACCAAATTGCTAATAATTCAAAAAATATTTGTAAGAGTAGAAATATCTATAAAATACCTTAAATATAAGAATTATGATATAGTATATCAAATGTTCAAATAATAAAATTTATTAAAATATAAAAATATCTTATGAATTAATTAAAATACAAACACTTAAAAAGAAATTTTTTAATAAATCTCCCATTATAAAATGTAATTTATCTTTTTTTTTTTTTTTTTTTTTTTTTTTTTTGCACCAAAATTTTCTGACACAGCAATTTCAATACTGGAAAAGAAACAAAATTTGCACACGCAAATTCTGATAAAAGGAAATAACCAAATTGTACACGCAAATGACATGCTGACACGGCACCACGTTGCGTTGTTATCGACGACAAGTCGGTAAGCACGATGCTGGTTGACAAACTCTCAACAACAATAACGGTTATTACAAACTAATTTACTGAAATTTATCTATATATATATATATATATATATTATATATATATATATATATATATGTATTGTAAGGTGCACATTCATTTTATATATGAGTTTCACTCTCACACTATATGAGATAAATTTAAGGATAATTTTTAAGTTTGTAAATATATATCATATGTACTTTTGTAAATTATCATAAATATACGTAAGTTATTTAATAAAATTATATAATTTTTCACAAACATACATAAGTTAACTTATAAAAATTTTAAAAATATTTTCCATTAAATCACATAATAATTTTTCAAATATTTTTCTGTGCAAAAGTTTTGTACACATCTTTTCTGAACTTTCAATATCATTTATTTATTATTTTATTTTATTTTATTTATGGAAGAAGACATATAAGACAAATGTGTAGAAGTAGAACCCAAATTCTGAACTTTCAATATCAATATCATTTATTTATTATTTTATTTTGTATCATTGTTGTTTTTGTATTATGTGTAGAAAAAGTAGAGAGGAGATGTTGATTGATGTGACCCAAAAAAGATAAAAAGATGAAATAAGTGCACTTTTTCCTTTGTAGCCAAACTTGGCCTTAAAAAGTATTTGGTATTTGTAATGTAATTAATGAGTGTGCTCAATAATAATATCATAACTAGTATTAATACACTAATTAATATATTAATTGATATATATAGCATCACCAATAAAAATAATAAAAGCTACTCCAAAAAACAACATCAAACAGAGCATATATGGATCATTTTGCCTTTCTACACTGCCAGTTTAGCAATTAGCATGGCTTGGATTGATGTAGGCCTAGTCAGCCCAATTTGTAGTGAAGGTACTGGTTGATCTTGGATGCCGTCCCGTGATACTCTAATTATGTTACGATTTGTGGAGAGAGTGAGACTTGTTAGATAATTAGAAAATATAAGAAAATATGATGGATTGTAATTGGCAAGAAATATGGTCATGTGGCGCCCTAAGCTAGATCAACTAATAATTTTTTGATCTAGTTTCAAAACAAAATATTTACACTAATTAGTCTTATATATTTTTAATTGTTACTAAAAAAATTTTTTTTAAATAAAAAAATTAAAAATGCTCCTACATCTCACCACTGTCGGACATCCGTCAGACGGTCATCGGAGACTTGCCGAAATATTTAACATCACTGGGAAGTCGCTGGAATATCATTGAAAATTTGTCAGAGTATCGCCAAAATATTTTGAACGGCATCGGAAGTCGTCAGAATGTCTAAAATATTTGCTGGACGTCAAAAATATTGCCGGTGACTCACCGGAATGTTTAGAGTATTGCTAAAAAAAGAAGAAGAATAAACTGATAAATTAAAGTGAAAAAATATAGCAAAATGTACTAAATATTGATAAATTGAAGGAAAAAAAAATTAAAAACAAACAACAATAGGAATATATATATATATAATAATAAAGACAATTGAATATACTATTGCGTAATTTAAGGCAAAATCGTCAATTTGATAAAATATAAACTAATTGATAAAAATAAATGTCAAAAAAATATTTTTGAATATATTAAAATATGTTTCTGCCCACTAATGATAAAAATTATGTAAAATTGATAAATTTTTTAGATATTTATATATTTATTTATTTATTTATTTATATCAAATTAATTTTTACTATGTGTTTGGATGATGATCATGTAATGGTAGTTTTTATTTTTTATAAGTTAGTTTCTATTTTTTTACAAATCAAATATGGCGACAACTTTAATATGATTATTAAACCAATCCTTTAAATCAAAAATTCAAAACTAAAAACATTTCATATATTAAATATATCAATTATACATGATAATCGTAACAACCACTCATTACATAGTCATCATCCAAATACATAATAAAAATTAATTTTGTAAAATAAATAATTAAATAAATGTGTAAAAAATTTATCAATTTTACATAATTTTATCTTTGATGGGTAGAAATAATTTTTAAAATTTTAAAAATATTTTTTTGACATTTATTTTTATCAAATTAATTTATATTTTATCAAATTGACGATTTTGCCTTTGGAATTAAGCAATAGTATCTTCAATTGTCCTTATTTAGAGCAAGATTCAAAATTCAAGGTTAAATGTGTTACAATTGAAAAGTCAGGGACCAAACTGACACGAACCCCAAACTATAGAGACTGTTAGTGCAATTCGCCCTTTTTAATATTGATCAATTTGAAAAGCAAGTTTTAAAACTGTAAAATGTTACAGTTTTAAAGTATGATTCTATTAAGTATTTATCCTTATTAATCAAACTGGAAAACATGTTATGAAACTGCAAAATTTTACAGTTTTAAATAAAGTTATGAAACTATAAAATTTTACAGTTCTAAAGAATAATTTAATTCAGCACCAAAAAAACAAAAACTGTTCCTGTAATTAAAATTCGAAAATAACTTGTTCAGAACTTGAAAATTTTCTCCATTATAACAGGAAAATAGAAGTGTATAGTATAAAAAAAAATATTAAAACTGAGAGATCAACTAAAAGAGACAAATATAGAGAAATATTTGTACTCCGATAATTATTTTTTGGTTTAGATCTAAGCGGATCTAACGTCAGATTTACTCAATCTGAGTAGATCTATATCAAATTTGAGTAAATCTACTCATCTTCTTCGCCGTCGATGAACACGAAGCAAGGAGTTAGTGTTCAGTGGTTGTCTGTGAACCCCAATCAATGGTAGTCGTCGATGGTAACTGTAAATTAGAAAGAAAAAGAAAAAAATGAAGACGTGATTGTAGTCATGGTCGTCGCCGATATCAAAGAAAGAGAAATACAAAGAAAAAGCAGGGTGTAAGGAAAAATGAGAAGATAAATAGGTAAAAAACTTTTGAGTGTATCTAAAAAAAAATTAGGATTAAATAAAATACACCTTTTACAAAAAGGACTCCCCATAATTTTTCCAATTTGTAGCACGGCCACAGTCCAGTCCAACATTTCAAAAACAAAAGCCCCAATTCTTGTACGTGGGCTTTCTCTCTTCATGGGCTCACTTTTTCGTTCTCGTTCGTTCCGTTCCTCCAAAACCTAACAACAATTTCTCACCCAAAAAAATAAATAAATAAATTCAAATTTCAAATCTCCGCTCCAACGGTCATCTTTTTGAAGGGTTTCCTTAGACCACACCGTATATATATACCCCATCATCACCACCGCCTCTTTCCCCAAATCAAATCAGTAGCAATCTCAGCTATTTCTCTCTCTCTCTCTCTCTCTCTCTCTAGAGAAACCCTATTCTCAGCCTTCACAATCAATCAATCAATCAAATCACCAAAACCCTTAATTCTTCCTCATCAATGGATTTCCACAGCCTCACAAGGAGAGAACTCCAAGCCCTCTGCAAGAAGAACAAGATCCCAGCAAACATTACCAACATCGCCATGGCCGATGCTCTCAAAGCTCTTGAGATCGTAAGTCTTACTCTCTCAAATTTGAGTGAAATTTTGGTTAATAGCTTGATCTGCTATGATATGATATGAACACCTTAATCTTTTTTTTTACGAATTCGAAATTTTTGTAAAAGCTTTTTTAATCATTTTTGTGAAAGAAAACCATACCCAAATCCTTACTCTTTTTAACATTTAATCCTATTTGGGTAGAAATATGACTCTTGAACATTTAGTTAATGACTGAAGCTTCGTTTGGGAAGTTGTTTTAGAGGTTTTTTGGGCTAAAATAGTCGCAAAAAACAAAATAAATTTTTTAGCTTAATAAGACAAAATATCACATCTAACTCATAATCGTTGCCTTCTTTTTCTCGCCAAAGCCAAAAAAGTCAAAAAAGTCAAAAAAAAAATCAAAAGCCTTTCCCAAATCAGGCTAAACAACCAAAAAAATTAAAAAGACAACCCACTTCCCAAACGGAGCTTGAGTTCATCCTTGATTTGATAAAATGGTTGGAGCACATTTTTATTGAATTCGATGAAGGATTGGAGATGCTCTTAAAATGCATTACCAATCCCCTTTTTCTTTTTCTTTTTCGTTTTTTTTTTTGGGGGGGAATTGTATGTTTATAGATTTTATGTATTTTGATGCGGTATTAGGTCGAAGGGATGGAAGAGCTCTTGAAACCGTGTGAGTCTGAAACCGCGCAGTCCTCTATTGCGTCGCCGGAAAAGACGGTGAAAACATCGCCGGGTGTTCCTCCTCGCACTGGTTGCAGAACATCTACTAGGCGAAAAGTAATTCAAAAAGAGTCAGAAAGTTCACAGATTTTGACTAGGACAAGCCGCGGAACAAGAAGAACAATCACTGGAGATGTGGAAAATGCAATGTTTGATGTGCCTACAACACCAGCTATGCCAAGCAGCCGAAAGATAGCTCCTGTTGCTTCCACTCGCCGGAAAATGGAGACCCAATTGAATGAAGAAGCGGAAAATGAGAAAAATGTGCCTGAAATGCCTAAAGAAACGATTACCCGGAGGCAGGCGACAGGAGCTTTAGCTCGCCAGAAAACGGAGACAAAGAAATATCAGAAAGAGGAGGCTTCAGTTCTGAAAGTGTACAGCACACGAAGAACGATGAGGTTGTCGGAGAAGAAAATGATGGAATTGGAGTTGAACGATAATGACAAAGAAATGTCCAAGGATGTGGAAAGAATTGTGAAAGAGGATTCGGATGATTTTGGCAAAGCATTGGAGGAGGTTCAGGGTATGTCTTGTTTATGTTTGACTTATTATCCAATGGTATATTCATACTTGACTGTTTATAAGTGCATTTTATTTCTAGTTTTTGGAGATTTTCTGACGTGGATCGTGATCATCTTGCAGAAATGCATCAGCAGACGATATCTGATGATGTTCTTGTGAAGACTGATGATTTAGAAGCTCTTTCGGATAAAAAATCTGATTTGTTGCCAGAGAATGTGAGTGAACTGGAAGATAATGTTCAAGAGTGTATAGGAGATAACCAGGAAATAGACGACGTGAAGGCGAAACCGCAACAAATTTCCGAGCAGTTCCATGAATCAGACGAGAACAAGGGTAAGATTTTTTTCCTGGTGTTTCAGTACCAAAATAAATAAATAACTAAAGAAAAAATTTTTTGACCTTTTCTACTCATCAAAATGCAGATGATGATGATGATTCACAGACAAAATCAGGAATGGGTTGTGAGAATTATGGTGAATCAGTTATTCTTTCTGGTGAAAAAGATGATATCTCAGACAAAGAGGGTAGGTTTAGTCTATCTCTCTGTCTGTATCTGTCCCTCCCACTTGATTATCAGAATTAATTCTTAGTCACTCACGGTTTTGGATTTTTCTTAGCTTTTCTGAATATATTTGTGATTGAATTACAGGGTGTGATGATTCTGGGTTTGATACTCTACTCTCTGACACTGAGAACCCTACTGACTGTTTGGTGCCAGAGAATGTGGAAGGATTGAATGCTGACATAGATTTGGGTTTGAAAGATTCAGCTGATGTCCTATCCTCTGGCAGCATTGGCGTTGGTGTTGGCGGTGATGCCATTGACCCTGTTATTGCTCCCCCGCAGTCTTCAGTGCTGCAAGAAACCAATCACTTGTCAAGTGAAGAAGCTGTTGTTGATGAGGATTTGGTGAGTGAAGATTCAGCTAAAACAGAATCTGATGTATTATTGACTTGGATTGTCTCTGATGCTGCTGAAGCTCAGAAGGAGGAGGATGTTGAGTCTCAAAACCTAGCCAGCAAAGAGTCTGAGTGCTTTAACCCAGAACTAAATGATGGTCAAGATCTCTATTTGGAGCTTGCCACCAAAGAGCTGTCTGATGAGAAAGCCCCTTGTGATGATGCAGAAACTGACTTAGAAGCACAGGGAGTTCAAGATCTCGAATCAAGCCTCATTGGTGAAGACAAGGTCTTAGGTGATGATGCAAAAGTTGAGTTTGATCACCCTGAACATTCAATTGTATCCAAGCAGTTGGAGAATGAAGAACCTGATCAACTTGATATTGAGTCAAGTAATGAAGATGAGTTGGATTCTGACAAGTCTTCCATTATAGTATCGGCAGTACTGGTAGCAATTGATGCACAAATCAATTTTGATCACCCTGAACATTCAACTGATTCCAAGCAATTGGAGAATGAACACCATCCAACTCCCGAGACTGTCGACTGTGGAGAAGAACCTGATCAACTATTTATTGAGCCAAGTAAAGAAGATGAGTCGGATTCTGAGGAGTTGGATTCTGAGAAGTCTGCCACCGTAGAATCTGCAGTACAGGATGCAATTGATCCTTCTGTTGAAGAAAACATGATGTTTTCAGCAAACCCAATTAGTTCTCACCCTGTGATTTCTGAAAACAATACCATTGAGCAATTAGCAGGCCAAGAGAGCATCGATTTTGTCAATCTGGTGGCTTCCGCAGACCCAAGTACACTTTCTTGTCCCACTTCGCTAACACCAATGAAGAAATCTTCAACTACGACACCAACCACAAACCAAAAGATCAATAGTCTTTTGGATGATGGCAAGGACAAAGAGAACATTGACAAGAGTGGCAACAAGTTGGATCTTACAAAAGAGAAGCCGAAGAAAGACAAGAAGGAATTAATCAACGAAAAAAGTCTAAGGCAGCTAAGGAAGATTTTCAAGGAAAAGTTGCGGATTAATGAAGAGAAGAACGTTGCTAAGGTGAGGTCAAAATTTCCCTTTGGTCACTTCACTATCAACTTTTTTGGATTGTGATTATTTTATGAGTTTGTTGTTTACTGATATTGTTGTTCGTTAACTGTTGACTAACAGGCAGGAAGGGTAAGACCAGCTTTGCAGACACTGTCTGAGAATCGTTTGGCAGCAACTGAAACTGAAGACAAAAACTGAGTGCTTACATTGATGGGGTGGGTTGTGCTTTGATTGGGGGTTCAAAACCTTGGTTTGCCTTCATTTTTTTTTTCTTCGCAGAGAGAATATCACAATTTTGTGTTTTTTGTTTCTTTTTTTAAGTACTGAAATGAAATAATGGTGACTCAGCCAAATTTTTGCTGATGATGGGATTAATTGAGAGATTTATCATGTTTTGTTCATTCATTGTTATCCCTGTAGTTGCCTGCCTCTCTCTCTCTCTCTCTCTCTCTCTCTCTCTCTCTCTCTATTTGAACAATTGAGTTTAATCTAGGGAAAAAATGGAGAAGAAAACATCAAAGAGCTCCAGATTTCTGATTGTTGCACCGCCATATCTAACATCATTGGCTTGATTTAATTTACCTTCATGCTGCAATATATCCAATAAAATTTCTTTGTGTTAACTATGACATGTGAAAATTCTTGGCATTTGTTGTGCTAAGCTTCTTTTTTTTTTTTTTTATACAAAGGAAATGCGCAAACACAATCAATGTCAGAGTTATGAGAGGTTTTGTTGAATGAAAGGTTCTAAAACACTATCTAAATGAATGATGTCACACCAATGCAGGAGAAAGAGAGAGGTTCTAACCATTGGTTGAGGTAGAATTAAATGGGTTTAGATTCTTTGTAACAAAGTTTTTTTCACCACAAAAAAAAATGACCAAAAATCATAGAGAATTAAAATAGGTAAAAATGTTAATAATAAAGTGTTATGAAATCGGTGAATAGTGTTGTTTTGTAATTTACCAAAAAAAAAAAAGAAAAAGAAAAGTGCTGTTTTGTAGTGTTTCACATTCGTTTACCCTTTTTCTTTTTTTCTATCTGATCACATGAACTTAATAGTTAACTCATTCAGTATATTTATTCAATAGTTAACTCATGGCTTGAGAAAGAGACCAAGAACCCAAAACTCAGGAGAATTTCTCAATGGAAACTCTAATTGAAGAGAAAAAAAAAACCTCTCAATCTACATTAACCAAATCATACGGCTTTTATTCACCGCATCATCACACTAACTGACATGATGAGCATATGTAGCAAGCCATTTTGTTCGTGACTAATAAACATTTTTAGAATGATATTAGAAATATACAGTGAAAAGAAAAAGAGCTTTAATTTAGTTTAGCTGTATCAGAATCCAACTCTGCATCTAACTTCAACTAAGGCTTGTTGATGCTGTTCATATTGGCTTATTGTCGGCAGGAGTCCCATCATCATTCTCATCCTCTGTTGCATTTCCCTCTCCTTTCTGGTCCAGTTTTATCCGAATTGATTGATTACCATCATAATGAAGAGAAGGGCAGTTTTCCAATTCATTTATCCGCTCCAAGGTTCATAAATGAAAATTGAGGCAGTTTACCAATCTCCAGAAAAAGTTTACAAGGTAAGCGGCAAGGAGGGAGATGAGGCAGTTATGTTTTATTTTTTATTGAAAGATTGGTAAAGAGAGAGAGAGAAAAGAGAGAGACTAGAATGAAAGATTGGTATCGTATAGAATGTATTGAATAAAGAGGTACACTCTCCATTATATAGGAGAGAACATTACAAACATCATCATGCCAAAAGTGTATCCACTAACTGAAAGTAAATGCACTAATCTAAAGCCTAAAGCACCAACATAAAATATATTAACAAATATAAAAGTGAAAGTGTGTGGTAGTGGGTTGACAGCTACAAATGCACTATGATGGATATTGTATGTTAACAGCCCCCCGCAAACTCAAGGAGGGTAGGCATCGACCAAGTTGAGTTTGGAAACAAGATCACGGAAACGCCCAAGAGGATGAGCCTTGGTGAAAATATCAGCAGGTTGATCGGCAGAAGCAATAGGGAGAAGATGAACAGTACCACGTGTAACATGCTGTCGAATGAAATGACAATCAATCTCAATATGCTTGGTGCGATCATGAAAAACATCATTGTGAGCAATCTGAATGGCACTCTGATTGTCACAATAAAGAGAGGTAGCGCCAGAAGAGGAAACACCCATATCAGTGAGGAGCCAGCGAAGCCAGAGAAGTTCCTGAGTAGTATCAGCAAGAGCTCGGTATTCAGCTTCGGTGCTAGAACGGGCAGTGAGGGATTGTTTCTTGCTACGCCAAGTAAGAAGAGAATCCCCTAAGAAGAAACAGAATCCCGTGGTGAAGCGTCAATCCGTAAGATCCCCAGCCTAATCAGCATCAGAAAAGGCACGCAATTCAAGAGAGGAGCAAGCAGAGTAGTGAAGGCCATGGAACAGAGTGCCTTTGAGGTATCGAAGGATGTGGAGTAGAGCAGTATAGTGGGGAGTGCGAGGAGCCGACATGTACTGACTAACAATGTGAACAGCATAGGCAATGTCAAGACGAGTCACTGTGAGATAGACAAGACTACCGACGAGCTGGCGATAAAGAGTAGCATCATTGAGGAGAGCCCCATCGAGAGGAGTTCTACCCAAGCCCGAGTAACATGGTATCGAATGCCATAAAAGACACAAGTGAAGCCCTTAGGGTAGATTGCTGGTGGATCAATAAGATAATATTTTTAAAAAATTTGAACATAGTCTTCAAAAAAACAAATGTTACATAATTTTAATTTAGCTTTTAGAGTTGAGTTCTACCCAAGCCCGAGTAACATGGTATCGAATGCCATAAAAGACACAAGTGAAGCCCTTAGGGTAGATTGCTGGTGGATCAATAAGATAATATTTTTAAAAAATTTGAACATAGTCTTCAAAAAAACAAATGTTACATAATTTTAATTTAGCTTTTAGAGTTGAGTTCTACCCAAGCCCGAGTAACATGGTATCGAATGCCATAAAAGACACAAGTGAAGCCCTTAGGGTAGATTGCTGGTGGATCAATAAGATAATATTTTTAAAAAATTTGAACATAGTCTTCAAAAAAACAAATGTTACATAATTTTAATTTAGCTTTTAGAGTTGAGTTCTACCCAAGCCCGAGTAACATGGTATCGAATGCCATAAAAGACACAAGTGAAGCCCTTAGGGTAGATTGCTGGTGGATCAATAAGATAATATTTTTAAAAAATTTGAACATAGTCTTCAAAAAAACAAATGTTACATAATTTTAATTTAGCTTTTAGAGTTGAGTTCTACCCAAGCCCGAGTAACATGGTATCGAATGCCATAAAAGACACAAGTGAAGCCCTTAGGGTAGATTGCTGGTGGATCAATAAGATAATATTTTTAAAAAATTTGAACATAGTCTTCAAAAAAACAAATGTTACATAATTTTAATTTAGCTTTTAGAGTTGAGTTCTACCCAAGCCCGAGTAACATGGTATCGAATGCCATAAAAGACACAAGTGAAGCCCTTAGGGTAGATTGCTGGTGGATCAATAAGATAATATTTTTAAAAAATTTGAACATAGTCTTCAAAAAAACAAATGTTACATAATTTTAATTTAGCTTTTAGAGTTGAGTTCTACCCAAGCCCGAGTAACATGGTATCGAATGCCATAAAAGACACAAGTGAAGCCCTTAGGGTAGATTGCTGGTGGATCAATAAGATAATATTTTTAAAAAATTTGAACATAGTCTTCAAAAAAACAAATGTTACATAATTTTAATTTAGCTTTTAGAGTTGAGTTCTACCCAAGCCCGAGTAACATGGTATCGAATGCCATAAAAGACACAAGTGAAGCCCTTAGGGTAGATTGCTGGTGGATCAATAAGATAATATTTTTAAAAAATTTGAACATAGTCTTCAAAAAAACAAATGTTACATAATTTTAATTTAGCTTTTAGAGTTGAGTTCTACCCAAGCCCGAGTAACATGGTATCGAATGCCATAAAAGACACAAGTGAAGCCCTTAGGGTAGATTGCTGGTGGATCAATAAGATAATATTTTTAAAAAATTTGAACATAGTCTTCAAAAAAACAAATGTTACATAATTTTAATTTAGCTTTTAGAGTTGAGTTCTACCCAAGCCCGAGTAACATGGTATCGAATGCCATAAAAGACACAAGTGAAGCCCTTAGGGTAGATTGCTGGTGGATCAATAAGATAATATTTTTAAAAAATTTGAACATAGTCTTCAAAAAAACAAATGTTACATAATTTTAATTTAGCTTTTAGAGTTGAGTTCTACCCAAGCCCGAGTAACATGGTATCGAATGCCATAAAAGACACAAGTGAAGCCCTTAGGGTAGATTGCTGGTGGATCAATAAGATAATATTTTTAAAAAATTTGAACATAGTCTTCAAAAAAACAAATGTTACATAATTTTAATTTAGCTTTTAGAGTTGAGTTCTACCCAAGCCCGAGTAACATGGTATCGAATGCCATAAAAGACACAAGTGAAGCCCTTAGGGTAGATTGCTGGTGGATCAATAAGATAATATTTTTAAAAAATTTGAACATAGTCTTCAAAAAAACAAATGTTACATAATTTTAATTTAGCTTTTAGAGTTGAGTTCTACCCAAGCCCGAGTAACATGGTATCGAATGCCATAAAAGACACAAGTGAAGCCCTTAGGGTAGATTGCTGGTGGATCAATAAGATAATATTTTTAAAAAATTTGAACATAGTCTTCAAAAAAACAAATGTTACATAATTTTAATTTAGCTTTTAGAGTTGAGTTCTACCCAAGCCCGAGTAACATGGTATCGAATGCCATAAAAGACACAAGTGAAGCCCTTAGGGTAGATTGCTGGTGGATCAATAAGATAATATTTTTAAAAAATTTGAACATAGTCTTCAAAAAAACAAATGTTACATAATTTTAATTTAGCTTTTAGAGTTGAGTTCTACCCAAGCCCGAGTAACATGGTATCGAATGCCATAAAAGACACAAGTGAAGCCCTTAGGGTAGATTGCTGGTGGATCAATAAGATAATATTTTTAAAAAATTTGAACATAGTCTTCAAAAAAACAAATGTTACATAATTTTAATTTAGCTTTTAGAGTTGAGTTCTACCCAAGCCCGAGTAACATGGTATCGAATGCCATAAAAGACACAAGTGAAGCCCTTAGGGTAGATTGCTGGTGGATCAATAAGATAATATTTTTAAAAAATTTGAACATAGTCTTCAAAAAAACAAATGTTACATAATTTTAATTTAGCTTTTAGAGTTGAGTTCTACCCAAGCCCGAGTAACATGGTATCGAATGCCATAAAAGACACAAGTGAAGCCCTTAGGGTAGATTGCTGGTGGATCAATAAGATAATATTTTTAAAAAATTTGAACATAGTCTTCAAAAAAACAAATGTTACATAATTTTAATTTAGCTTTTAGAGTTGAGTTCTACCCAAGCCCGAGTAACATGGTATCGAATGCCATAAAAGACACAAGTGAAGCCCTTAGGGTAGATTGCTGGTGGATCAATAAGATAATATTTTTAAAAAATTTGAACATAGTCTTCAAAAAAACAAATGTTACATAATTTTAATTTAGCTTTTAGAGTTGAGTTCTACCCAAGCCCGAGTAACATGGTATCGAATGCCATAAAAGACACAAGTGAAGCCCTTAGGGTAGATTGCTGGTGGATCAATAAGATAATATTTTTAAAAAATTTGACCATAGTCTTCAAATGTTACATAATTTTAATTTAGCTTTTAGAGTTGAGTTCTACCCAAGCCCGAGTAACATGGTATCGAATGCCATAAAAGACACAAGTGAAGCCCTTAGGGTAGATTGCTGGTGGATCAATAAGATAATATTTTTAAAAAATTTGACCATAGTCTTCAAATGTTACATAATTTTAATTTAGCTTTTAGAGTTGAGTTCTACCCAAGCCCGAGTAACATGGTATCGAATGCCATAAAAGACACAAGTGAAGCCCTTAGGGTAGATTGCTGGTGGATCAATAAGATAATATTTTTAAAAAATTTGACCATAGTCTTCAAATGTTACATAATTTTAATTTAGCTTTTAGAGTTGAGTTCTACCCAAGCCCGAGTAACATGGTATCGAATGCCATAAAAGACACAAGTGAAGCCCTTAGGGTAGATTGCTGGTGGATCAATAAGATAATATTTTTAAAAAATTTGACCATAGTCTTCAAATGTTACATAATTTTAATTTAGCTTTTAGAGTTGAGTTCTACCCAAGCCCGAGTAACATGGTATCGAATGCCATAAAAGACACAAGTGAAGCCCTTAGGGTAGATTGCTGGTGGATCAATAAGATAATATTTTTAAAAAATTTGACCATAGTCTTCAAATGTTACATAATTTTAATTTAGCTTTTAGAGTTGAGTTCTACCCAAGCCCGAGTAACATGGTATCGAATGCCATAAAAGACACAAGTGAAGCCCTTAGGGTAGATTGCTGGTGGATCAATAAGATAATATTTTTAAAAAATTTGACCATAGTCTTCAAATGTTACATAATTTTAATTTAGCTTTTAGAGTTGAGTTCTACCCAAGCCCGAGTAACATGGTATCAAAGTTGAAGTACCAAGGATGGGTAGGGTGTGTGTCCCTAGCTTGCACATTGCAGGTGCTGCCAAGTGATTACGTTGGGCATGAGGGAAGGTATGAAGAAGTCCCACATTGCTTGGCTACTAAAGTAATATGCAATATAAAAACATGAGGGCACCATCACCTCAATAGCTAGCTTTTAGGGTTGAGTTCTATCCAAGACCGTGTAACACTCTTAAACTAAGATAAAAGTGTGAATAGATATTAAAGGCTGAGGAAAGGAAAAAAATCAATAACAAGTTAGGCATTGCCAAGGTGTCCCCTTGAGCAACACTTCAAGAGGCAAAAGGCCTACTTTATTAAATGATACGGTCAATTGAAGCCATTCCACATACACACAGTGTTATGCTGGGAGCAAAAGTAAACTAACACAACAAACATACGATAAAGAATGCCAGTCATTTTCTCGGAATCAATTGGAAAGAGTTAGAACTTGACCTTATCCATACGAGCCAGATCTGAGACTATCATTAGAACATCCATCATAACCTCTCTTGGACATGAACCACCAAGCAACCTTCTCACTCTGCCAGGATCCAACAAACCTTTGCCCAAAAGTTGTACTGCAAGAGGCCGATGGCTTATCATTTTAGCAAGAAATGCAACAGGTCTTGCAACATCTTTTAACTCCATATGTTCCAAGCACCGAAGAATAATGGCAGGGACTCCTACCTGTAACTTAGAAGCAATTATGTAAGAAACCAAAAAAAAAAAATATATATATATATATAGGCTGTGAGACACCAATATCAGCATGTAGCATTTAATGTTTATTTTTAATGTTAAATGCAAAATAGATTTAACAAATGCTTTTAAAGTGAAACATATTTTATTTTGATGCAATTCATAACAAAGACATAAGAATGCACATGAAAGCGTTTTTCTTTCTCCCTCCATAAAAGGACCCAAAAAATAAAAATAATAAAGGAAAAGATAAGATCTGACCTCCTGAAGGATCTGTATATATTTTGCCATGTTTGTCTCAATTGCTTTTACCATGTCCTTGTCATCCATGCAAACTTTCCCACCAGGTGAACCCATGTTCAGAAGGAACCCACTATTCACTGAAGCAGTGGCAGATGGCAAGCCTGGGGCATTCTGTACTGCAACAAAAGGAAATGCTAGGAGATCAACCACGGCATTTATTAGATCTCTGATCCCATCCTTCCCCCCACCAGGTCCACTCCAACATCTTACAAGCTTGAGATGTGCATCAGATATCAAATCAGTGATGAACCTGATGTGCTCACTCCTAACCAAAATCTGACGAAAAGTTGACACTCCACCTGAAAGACATTGACATATTGAAGAAACCGCCCACAAAACCCCAACCGGTGATAGACCAACATGATCGTTTGTATAGTCAATTCCTTGGGAAGAAGCATCTGAATGACTCTTACCCAACAAATCAATCAGAAGCTGAGGGATACCACTTGCACACAACTGTTGAACAGCTAATGCTCCTCCCCACTTCAGTCTAGATTCCAATAAGCCAACACACCCATCCCTAAGACCATGCCAGTGAGAGAGCATACCATTCTGCATAGAAGGCTCTCCATTTTCACCAACTGGTGGAATCTTAAGGTAGTCACAAAGTGTGGCAGTTCGCGGGATCAAAGGCACAGCTATTTCAGATATGGAAGACTCACACGGAACTCCACTTTCGAGGGATAGAATAGATGCAAAAGCCAGCATAGCAGATGCACAATGAAGCTGAAAAGAAGTCTTCGTCCTATCATCAGAAGAAAAATGATGGGCAAGAACAGAATGTCGAGAAAGCTGCTTTTTTGAAGATGTTGTAAGCATAAAAAGTGCAGAATTCCTTCCAGTTGTCTTCAAACACTGTGCAACGGTGGCAAGGATAAGACATGAGTTCAAAACTAGGACACGTGGATTGGCTATTTTGCATTTGACATTGCCAGCTTCTGTTTGGGGATCCTTATTTGAAGATGAAGCACACAAAGCTAATATGGTGAAAATCTCTGAAATAATTGTACCATCCCCTCCACCATTGACAACTGTGGGTTGAGAATTTGATAGTCCACAGAGAACGCTTGAAACAATTCCACTGTGCAGGCAACACCTCAACATAATCTAAAACATTACAAAAATGCATTACACTTCTGAATATGAGACACAAGAGAATACGTGGCATTTGGCAAACTAAATGTAGAGAGACTTCCTAGTTATAGACTCTTGCAAACAAATGCAATAAAAAGATGCCATTTACACAAGGTTGAATTTGGGTGCTTAAGCACTTTTTACACAGACATATAGTCCAACGGAATTGGAATAAAACAAGAAAATAACTTCTGTCTAAATTTACCATGAAAAAAAAATCCAGTAAATTAGAATTTGCAAACAAAAATCCTATGTCTATTGCTAGCATATTGTTCCTAAGAAAAAGGAACCCAATGCTTCAAGGATACATTAACACTGATACCGATTGAACATGACAATAAAGAGGAAGGGTATTTGAATTAGTAAATGACCACGCATGCAAATAAGATTTGTAATAAACTAATGCATGGTCTTAGGCTATTAATGTTAAAGAAGATATTAGCAACGTATGCATGTGCTCATGCAATAGATAGAGCTAAACATCAAGGTAATGAGGAAAGAAATAATCACCTGGATAGCAGCTGACAGGGCAGCCTCAAGACGTTGACGAAGACAGTAGTAAATAGCAACCTGCGTGGCTTTGGACCTGAGAAATGCTTTTGTCACTGCATCAACAATTTTTGATGACTCTGTTCCGACCAATGAACCTTGGTCATGTTCCCTAATGTCAAGTCGGAGTAATGAACGGCTTCTCAAAGCATTTAGTGGGAATAAATAAGCATTTTCTTTTACAGAAAGAATTTCAAATGCATTTATCAGTGACCAGATAGCCCTACAAGCTTCACAAGCAGCACGCAACAAATGTGTAGAGCCCAATATGAGACTTGAGCCTGAAGTTGCTAAGCACAGACATAAAAGATCTGCTACACCTGATACTTTAGCATGGTCCAAAACCAGTTTAAGAATATTAACCATTGTAGGAGGAGCAGAATCCACCTCAGTAGCCAACGTCGCTCTAGATGCTTTTAGACCCTGAGCTACTCTAGATAACACGACGGCAATGCATGCAGTGGACTCATTTAGAACTTTTCCAGATGCATCATTAGTGCAACCAACAACCTAGAGATTCAATGACATGAGAGCTAAAAGCAAGTTCCAAGATAGCTGATACGGAAAAAATTCCTAAGAAAAGAAAATAACCTGTGAATACAATTGTACAGAAGCAACCCAATGTGTAAGATATGAACTGCCAATCACAACCCCAGAATTATCAACTAGCTTTTTTATGATTGAGAAGCTCTGCACCAGAAATTTTACATGTCTCAGCATCCATTAAAAGGAGACTGCAGCTTGTACTCAACAACAATAAAAATTTTACTAGACAATATGAGAATTTAAGGGATCCACAGGCCTCCCAAAAAAATTAAATTATATCCAGAAACTAATTGCAACATTACTTAAAAGCATGGTAAAGGAAAACAGTCTGCAAGTGGAGAAATTGCCATGCTAAATCTGATAATTAACTCCACAAACTTTTATTAGAAATTAAATGAGTTAGCTGCAATATTGACACTAATCATGACGTTCTGATTATTATAAAAGAAAATGTGGTTAAATGTGCCTTGGAAAATTTTTTAAACTCCAACAAAATAAACAACATTTAAGCAAAAGAGAAATGGTGATTTGGGACAACATTTCAGCTAATTTTCACCTGTAGAACTACAAGCATTACAGCCAAAATGGTAAAGACACAAGAAGTGAAGCCAGAAGCATTCTTCTTTGGAAATCAAGCAAAGATGTACCTTTGCAATTATATCATTAACATCAGGGGATTTTAGATTCAGTATGTTAGCAGTAAACCCAAGCAGTTCATGTATTATTTCATCTAGTACTCCAGAAGAATTGAGAGCTCCAGCTGCAACTAAGTTCAAAAGGATTCTCAGTGACTGGTTTGAACTAAGAATATCTTGATCCCTGGAAAATTACGAGAAGCTGTTAAGCCGGAAGATAAACACAACAAGAATTCTCTAATATGACAAAGACCAAATAAATGGTTATGTAATGAGCACCCAGTAAATAATTTGGCAGGTGACTAGCACGACAAGAATTCACTGAACACCAGTGTCCTGTTCACTGAATCGTTGGGATGGCCCTGAGACACCCAGTTGGTAGATGTTGAGCATTCTAAACACACAACAGAAAACTACAAACATGATGATAATGTCAAAGTGATTAATCATCCTTGACCAAACACACCATTAGGACATTTTCTAACATAAGATTGTCCCAGATTGAGATTTCATCTTGGTACCTCTATGAATTGTCATGCATACACCAATATTGTTGTATTTGATAATTCACTACCAGTTTCGGAGCCAGAATTTTACATCCAAGTACGAACATATTGTTTAAATGCATGCATCCCATTTACCTGCAAGAATTTTGCTCTCCTTTGCACCAGTTCTTTAAAGGTAGCAAAATAACAGATAATGCTTCATTGTCTAGACCAATTAATTTAGCACCCTTGACTGTGCGAGAATTGTTTTCCAACCTATCCAAGGCCTGGCAACCTAAATGAAAAAATATCGTTCGTATAAGTTTCCTATGATTAATACCACAAGCTCAGGAAGTAATTATGCTAACTAAAATCAAGGAAACAAAACGCCCTAAATGAAAGCTACTAAAAAGAAATAAATGCTAGACATGCAACTAGTACATTACACGCTAGTTAGAAAGCCTACAGTGCATAGAATCATGGATAAGTGTGCATTCAGCTCGAGACAGAATAGAGCAGGAAAAGAAATTATAAAAAATTGATAAAAGAAATACAAGGAACAACATAATGGCATTCTATCTAGTAAGGAAAAAAAAAAGGCACATGAAGCTTAAATAAATATTATAAAATAATAAATAAATAAATAACCAAACTTGACAAGAATAAAGAACTAACTGTGTGGTAAATAAGCCACCTATGCATTAAATAAATAAACAAATATATAAAACAAATAAAACATAGCGAAGACAGGGAAAAATGAATATTTTGCCAATTTAGAACATAAGCTACCTGACTGCTCAGCATCAGTGGGAACCGTAAATCCAGGGAACTCCTCCCTCGGTGAAGAATTATCCATCATTATGTTAGGACTATTTGATTGGGCATCACTCCGATGGCTTCGAACACTACCGTTTTCCATAGCAACAGGAGATTGATTTTTACCTATCAGAATGTATCCAATAATAGTTAGATTCACTAAAATCATAATTACATATAATATACAGTGCAGGCTTACTATCAGGACTTGCACCAGCCAATCCAACTGGCAAATAAATGTTTCCTTCACCCCTCCAAGCTGCATTACATCCCCTAGCTGCAGCAGTCGTAGCACAAATCTCCTGGCAATGATTGACAACATTAAAGCATTATTACTTGTATAACTAAACTAACAACTAGAAAAAGAATTCTCCAAAACCTTACTTTATAAGAAAAGCAAAAGTAATTATTACCCTGGGTTCCAGTTCTTCTGAAGTTTCTTTAACAAATGGGTGTACCAGTAGAGCAGGCCAAGTCAGTCTATTATGTGGTTCCTGTACCCCATGATTATAACTAAATTAGCAGCTACTAAAATAAATGCTAAAAATAGGCATCCAATAGGCGTAGAGTTTTAGCAAATTAGTACCTTATTAAGCAAACCTCTTAGGAAGCTTTTGAAATTCAAACTCATATTGTCGGGATATTTCACTGGATCCTGGTAGGCAAAACTAACTTGTATCTAAATGCATTTCATTTCAGATTCAGAATTTTATGCAAGGTTTGCACACATTTACCTTAATGATGTGCCGGATGAGTGCATAAACAGAATTTGTATAAAATGGAGGTTGGCCAACAAATAGTTCATACCTGATCATTCCCACAATCAGCTAGTTAGATGACCGACAAGAAAATAGGGTGTACGGAAATATAAGGAGGGTTAATACATGATGGGAATGGTTGCTAATCATGCTGCATGGATCGACAGGATAAGTCCATATAGCTATTCTGATAGATATTTATTTAGTCAAGAAAATAAAACTTGATAATTCCTACACTTGTGCTGTTAGCTGTAGCTGTACAGATTATTCTCATATGCAAGTAACAAATTTCTCTTGGTGACACCAAAACAACAGCCTAGTGGATTGCCTACGTGCTACATCAAAGTTCAAACTCCTAGTGGTGCCAAATGTACACTATACAATTGACATGCTATCTATCAAATATATGGTTTTAAGATGAACAAGTAGTCATCTGATTGTATAATTTCTGAGTAATTTCCTGCAAATCTATCTTAACAAGAGATCTACAAATGCAATTGTCTTCCCATTTTAAACATGAACAAGAAAAAGGGAAAATCATTAATTTTAAAGTCAACACATTGAGAATTCATTCTATATATGTGTGTGTATACATATAAATCATTAGCAATTAGTATCAGTTACCAACATAATTCAGGTATGATTACAGCAATTAAAAACTAAAAGATGATGGGTTAGATAACTTATCTCAGAATACAATTTCCATTAACTTTAAGTTTTGTGATTAATAAAGTAAAAAGTATGCTCAATTTAGTCCCATTAAGGAGGGTGTGGGAGGAATAAATTTTATATAGACCTAACCTTTGGCATTATTTGCCCACAATGCCCGCCGTCAAGTTCAAACCGCAACCTTATGGTTAATAAGCCAAGTTTTAACCACTAAACCAGTGCCCCCTGTTTTGTTATTAATAAAGTATTGTATTAAAACTCATTTTTCCAAAATCCTCAAGTTTTAATCATGTACAATGTGCCTTTAGCAAAGATCAGCTTTTAAAAATACAACTATTTGCAACTCTAATAATTAAAATATATAAAATTAACTGAGCATATGACTTCAAATAGAACCAATTAGAGGAAATTGATCCATGTAGCTAACCTAAAGTAATTAGGACAAAGGGTTGCCAAGTTGAGTTCAAAATAACTAAAAGAAATCACCCTAGTTCTAAAATAAGTAGAATTTTGAGCTTGTTTGCTAGATAATTTGAACTGATTTAACAAGAAAAACTAATTTATTTGGGCTAAGTAAATAAAAAATGATTAATCAGCCTAAATAATCTAAACCAAATGAGCACTTATTATTCCTAAAGGCAAATTTTCAATTTGAAGAAAAGATGGTTCAAAAGGTTCTATTGATTAAGGTGAATAAACAGCATTAGTTGAAAGTGCTTAATAATAAATTAAAATCTAATGAAAACAAAAGACCATAAAAAGAGAGAGCTTAAAATCTTTACAAAAACAAGAATTAGAACATCGTTCAACCAAAATAACTTAGTGCTATGGAAACATAACATCTCCAATGATGTGCTATCCTCCATGCCAATGTCAAATTTTGGCAAAAACTCTCTCAAATGCATCACCATTGATATGCGATCTTTCATGCCAAAATTTGTCAAGGACTCCTGTTTTATATGTGACTTTTTGTGGGGGGAAAAAAAAGAAGAAACGGCATTTACACCATTGAAGCAACATTGCTAAATTTGGCATTGCCTTTTTGGCACCAACAAGTGGAGATGCTCTTAGCAGAATAAGTTTTGGTAAAATAGTAGTATGAAAACAATCAATCCCAAAACAAGAATAAGAAAAAACACATACAAAATGACTCCAAGAGACCATAAATCAGCAGTGTGATTGTAAGGTTGTTCCCGTACCAACTCTGGAGCCATGTATAAAGGAGTCCCTGAAATAAATTCATAAAAGAAGTAGTGAATGAAAAAGGAACAACAAAATCTGTTAGCAATCATTAAGAACTTAACGGTATGTAGCTTTTCCTTCTGTTAGGACTCTGTAATTGTCACTAAAACATGCTAACTAACCTTTTATGGATCTAAGAACAACAGTATTCGTGGACATAGCACGTGCAAAGCCAAAATCACAAAGCTGTGTCAAACAAAACGAATATTATGTTGGGTTCCTTTGATGATGATATAAGATACAAGATTAAATTTTGAGAAATTAAGTAAACATATAGAGCAGGTAAATAAAATCCATTATAAGAAACGACCAAGGCCAGCAGGAAAAGCTCATGACTTCTTTGTGGTGCATAAGCTCAATATCTGCAAACTACTAAGGCATTCAATTTTAATATTTCCCACAAGTAATGAGAGGAATGTCCAAATGATAACTTGAGAACCCTGATGCAATTTACTAATGATAAATTAGATGCATTGGTACATGAAGAAGACTCAAAGAACAATATACCCATGAAATACTCAAATACTAAGCTCGAAGGGATAATGCCCCCACTGATGAAAACCACCAAAGGCACACAAGGAACAATGTATGCAACCCGAGTTATTTATGAATAAAAAATTCATTTCAAAATTAAGAATAAGCAATAATTCTAAAACTTGCAAACCATTTAGCTAAATGCTCGTACACATTTATCTTTCATACAGCCCCGTCAATCCCATATCACTAGTAAACAAGTCTTCATCTCAATTTAAAGAACATAACAATTTTTTGTGCTGCTTCAATTTAATCACTTCCATTCTTCATATTACTTCTGGAAAGGTCTAGAATCTAATTATACTGTTGCTGTCCTCCACTTCACAGCATTTTTTTTTTCACATTACACATGATGGATCTTTCCAGCTATTATACTGACAAAGCAACATTATCAACAAAAAACATGTGCATGTTCAAAAATTAAAAATGACAATTTTCCACTGTTAATAATTGATCTGGTTTGTTCATGCATCAATGGCACGCTCTAAAATCCATTAACTGCATTCACGTGCTATAGTGACAATTATGATTTAGAAGAGTTGCTAGATATAACATCTAAATGAATATCAATTTTCAGCCAAGTTTCCAAAACTTAGTCCCAACTATTTGGGGCTAGATGCACCTTCTTTCCTACCATCCTACTCTATTTAAAGATATTATATACTAATTTTTTGTACAACAAAATGATGGTGCAATGTCGTGAAAGAATTTAGCTATATATTGTGATTTTAGAGATACATTTGGGTGAAATAGGTTATTGTGATTAAGAAATGATGACAATCACAGCCTAAGTACAAGCTTCAAAGCTAGAAAGTCTCCATTCATTATATATTAAACTCCATAAAAGGGGAACTATAACTATTATACATCTTTGTAAATTTTACAAAGAAACAAAACAATAGTCTTGGAAATAATTTGATATCATCCATCAATTTGAATGAACTAAAAAAGACTCAAAAAATGGAGAAAACTTTGAAATGGGCCCACACCACCTTCAAAGCGCTATTAGGAACTTCCATCTTAAAATCAAGGAAATTGAACCTTCTACACTTCGTGCTTTGCATCATTCTAATTACCTTTATAGACATCTTTTGTCTTCCTATCTTTAAAACAACTTCCACCAAACCATGTTAGTTTCTGCTAGTTTAGTCACCAATTTTTAGCAAATAGCCAAATTAAATCAAACAAATTTCTTCTCTCTTTTTTGTATAAATAAAAAAAGTTTATTAAAAAGCATCAAGATGATGCAAAGAACACAAAAATCAAACCAATAACACCCAATCGCTAACTAATCAAATCCTCAACAAAATCTACAAAAACTAACACATCCGGATCAACAGAAACTGTAACCCAACTATGTAAGACAATGAGCAGTCATTGCTCCAACCATTACACTGAGTAAGAAACCCCCTGAAAAATGCGTCTATTTTGCTCTAGCGAAACCAACCACATCAAACAATGACCTACAAGCACCCACGCCTTTTTGCGCCTTCTCCCAACTCTTCCCCCAGCCCAACTTTGCAACACTGCCAACACCGAACTTAGTTGAACCCACACCAAACCTCGGTTTGTGAACCAGGTTCTGTTTTCTC